GAATGTGGGGCCCGGACGACCTGAGCAGTCCGGGCCCCCCAGGACCGCCGGGCCCATGACAACCGTTGCGGTTGTCATGCCCTGATGGCGGCCCTGGTGTCTGTTAGTGTGTATGTGTGTCTTAGTGTGTGTGTCTGTTAGTGTGTGTGTGTCTGTTAGTGTGTGTGTGTCTGTTAGTGTGTGTCTGTTAGTGAGTGTGTGTCTGTTAGTGTGTGTGTTTCTTTTAGTGTGAGTGTGTTTGCCTGTGAGTGTGTGTGTGTCTGACTGTGTGTGTGTGTCTTAGTGTGAGTGTATTTGCCTGTGAGTGTTTGTGTCTGTTAGTGAGTGTGTGTGTGTCTGCTAGTGAGTGAGTGTGTGTCTGTGTGTGTCTGTTAGTGAGTGTGTGTTTGTTAGTGAGTGTGAGTGTGTCTGTTAGTGTGTGTGTTTCTGTTAGCTAGTGTATGCGTATCTGTCAGTGAATGTGTGTGTGTGTGTATTAAGAAGGCGGCGGGGGGGAGAGAGGGGTGTCTGAGTTTTGTCCTGCCTAGGGCAGCACAAAACCAGGATACACCACTGCCTGTGGTACACCTCAGATTATGTTATAGCTGTACCACTTGGCAACCGTTTGATATAGGATTGTTGTATACATTTGTCCAGTCAGCCTGTTCCTTTTTTTTTTTTTCACAAGCTTCACCATCACTTATATGGGTACCATAAGTCTATTTTAAGAGTGATCAATAAAAGTTACGTTTTAGTACGCATACATGTGATACTCCACGGGACTCCCTAACCCATGACCCCTGGTGGTTTTTCCTCTTGGGATCATTTCATTTATAGGTTCATGTGATGTTAGAGCAATTAGTGCTATACTGAATTATTTGATATATTTAACACTAACAGTATAAGTATGTTTTTAGTTTACACTAATAGAGACTGACAGAAAGACTCACACACTGCGAGAAACATACAAAAACATACTGATTCCATACCTCCTAAGCACCTTGATTTGAAAGAGACAGTCACTATTTTTGGATATATCCCCACTGTGCCTACTTTGTTCCTTGGTGTCCTGCTTTTGGGGACATCAGATAATTGTCTCCAGAAGCGTATCATGAGAGCTACACTAACAGCACTAGTACCTTGCAGAAAGCACTCTTCAAGTTATCTGCATTGCCCATAATTAGTGGGGCAGCCTGCTTTATTGGCATGCAGCCTGGTGTACATTCACGCCAGGCTGACCTACCAATGCTTCAGGTGGACCTTACTCTTTCCAGTGCCCATTATGTTAATCACGTCATTGGCTCGTCCCTTGTATACCATTTCATGAGACGCCACTGTTGGGACGTATGATGTTTGCAGACACATGTAGATACACAATGGGGTCTAGGTCAATGAAGTCCAAATGGGGCAAAACCATTCAGCGCAGTACGGGGCCATTTGTACTGAAAATCTGTACATTATTCACACTATTTAACAATGTCCAGATTTTGCTAAACAGTCTCTAACTTAGTTTGGTCTGGTTTTCAACTGGACCAATAGCTGCAAGACAGCTGAATTCTGGACCCAGATGGTTAAAATTCAGGCCCAGGTCTAGGACTGATCATTGTCAAGGCCAACGTCCTGGATAAAACACGACGCATCCACATGTACATCACGAAGATGGTTCCCAAAGATGAACTGCTAAGGGAATGCCTGAGACTTCAAAAGATACAGGATGCAGAAAAGGAGGAGGTTCCATGGCAAGACAAATTAGTTGTGTACCACCGGCAGACAGTGGATGTGGCTCACATGACAAAATCCTACCAGTGGTTAGAAAAGGCAGGACTGAAAGACAGAACTGAGGCATTAACCCTAGCAGCACAAGAACAGGCACTCAGCACCAGATTATTAGAAGTGGGGATCAACCACGCCAGGCAAGATTCAAGGTGCAGACTGTGCAAGGAGGCCTCTGAAACAATCCAACACATAGTGGCCGGTTGCAAGATGTTAGCAGGAACAGGACACACTGAGAGGCACAACCAAGTTGCTGGGATTGTGTACCGGGACATCTGCACAGGATATAGGCTGGACCTCCCTAAGTCCAGATGGGAGATACCACAAAGGGTAGATGAGAACGATAGGCCCAAGATCTGCGGTGTTAAGACACCCCTGGTGTCTTTAAGAGAAACCGTTGTTTAGTTAACCTTCCCCCTTCGCAATATCAATAACTCCGTTCGCATAGACTGCGGTATATGAACCACCTTCAGGGGAAGCGGTAATCTCCCGAACGGGATCCGTGGAAGGCTCCAAACTCCCGAACAGAAATCCACGAACCGCTGCTAACCGCCGAACAAAGATATCCACCAAGCGGCTTTCGGTTCCAGCAATCAGTCTCTAGTCGTCGGTAATAAATCCCCCCAATAACGAGACAAAGCTCCGCATTGAGGGTCAAACAGGATCTGGCTTTACTGTGGGCTACCCGCCCGTATTTATGCAGGTCTCCCACTTGGTGGACACTCCCCTAGGGGACCAAATGGGAGACTGTAATGACAGATAGACATGGGGACATTTCAGACATACAGATGTAAACTTTTCCCACAATGCAATATGGTTTCCTCCCCTCTGCCCTGGAGATAATTGAGAAGTAATTCAATTATCTCCAGGACAAAGACAAATCGCCATCTTAAATAAAATGCCAGAAAGCACACAAAAATATATAATTCCACAACTACCAAACATTTCACATTCGTATCACATATCCCCAGATAGCCTGGATCTGAGGGCATATTATTAGCGAACAGCGCTCAGATCCCATACGCATAGTTCAATCGCCATGGAGTCAAAGTTCTTACAGTCTTTTGGTATGCGATTGACTCCATGGGAAGGCTATCTGGGTTAAGTCTTTTCGTGTGATTTCAAACTCCCGAACGGCCGGTGTTCGCATGCTTTCGTCGATGGAGCAGGGCGACCCGTTGTTTCAGCGGTGTTCGGCAGAAAAAGTGTCAGTTTTTAGTTCCATGAAATCACTGCCAAACACCGCTGGTCTTTCATGCGAGCTAAAATGGCCGCTGCCTCGTTTCTATAGAAACAGCCATTTCCACGAAAGGAGGGCAAAACAGACAAATCCACCACGCATAGACATACAGATGGTTCTGTCACATGCGGGACTTTCAGATCCAGACAGACAAGCAAGTACTGGCTAACCAACCTGACATTGTGGTGGTAGACAAGGAATGGAAGACTGCAGTAGTGGTGGATGTAGCAGTACCCAGTGACTATAACATCAGGAAGAAAGAACATGAAAAGATTGATAAATACCAAGGACTGAAGGAAGATCTAGAAAGGATGTGGAAAGTGAAGGTAGTAGTAGTTCCAGTTGTGATAGTAGCACTCGGGGCTGTGACTCCCAAGTTGGGGGTATGGGTTCAACAGATTTCAGATGGGACATCTGAGATCGCTGTCCAGAAGAGTGCAATTCTAGGAACAGCTAAGATACTGTGCACAACCATCAAACTCCCAGGCCTCTGGCAGAGGACCCGAGAATGAGGAATAAACATACCACCCAGGAGAGGTGAGAAAATCATTTTTTTTATATATATAAACGCAAATTGGGAATGTTGGGCCTGGGCCCCCTAGGACCACCGGGCTTGTGACAACTGTTACAATTGTCACGCCCTCCACCCCCATTCGGCCCAGCAGAAATGCTTCTACACCTCACTAAGGTCCCTAGGACCATATATAAGAAATCACTGACGATCCGCATACTAAACATAGCTAAAACTACCATACCACAACACTGGAAACAGCAGACCACTCCGCCACTGAAAACTTGGTTCACCCAAATGGAGGAGTTGAGGTCCTTAGAAGAACTCCACGCCACAGCGAATAACACACACCAAACCTATCTCAATATATGGATGCACTGGCTACTGAAGTCGACACAACCAGGCTTCCTGGGCGAGACCCAGTACCAACAATAGAGACTGGACTAACGCTACACCAAGCTGCGGACCCTTGACACCGACAGAACCTAGACCCTTATCCCGATACCCCCCCACCACGACCTACCCATCCTGACCACCTTAACACACGAGTAAAGGTACCCTTGATTTGGCAGGGATCGCCTAGTACCACATGGATTAGGGCGACTTGGAGACCACACATGGTGGACATCCGCCATGTAGGCAGACGGTTCATGACCATAGTAAAGTAGGGGAGAGGACGGACAATTATCACGGAACGCATGGGGACGGGGAGGTATCACGTCCAAGTTTAGGTTTTTAACTAGCAGTTCAAGCTAGGAGGCTGATGAACTGAGTATATCATGAGTTGTCTGTTCCTCAACTGCTTGTTCCAAACAGTGTATAAAATACCATCGCAAGAGGGACCTGCGAGTCCACATTGTCTGTGGGGCCTGCGAGCCCGCACTGCTACCCAACCTTACAATGTCGCTGATTTACTCTATGCCCTCACCAAGTATGGACCTGCGAGTCCAAACGAAGTAGGACTGCCTTGATTTGAAAAATGAAAATAAAAATCATATTTACAAAAAAAAACAATTGTCACGCCCTGATGGCCCTGCACATAATATTCCTCCTTACACACAGTGCAACCCACAAACACACTGTACACTCCCACAGACACATAGTACACCCTCTCTCACACACAGTACACCGCCAAACAGTACACCACCAAACACACTAAATACACCAACACACACGCAGTACACCCCGCACACACATCACACACACAACACCCTCAAACACTCTGCACATACCCCCACACAAACAGTATACTCCCAACATACAGAGTACACTCCCCACACAGCACTCCCATACACAGTACACACACAGTATACCTCCACACACACACTTCACTCCTATACACACTATAACTTAAATACACACATTATTATTATTATTATTATTATTATTAATGGTATTTATATAGCAACAATGTATTCCATAACACTTTACAATATTATATTATGAAAGGGGGTAATTTAACAATAAATTAGACAATTACAAATTAATACAGGAACAGGTATATGAGGACCCTGCTAAAATAAGCTTAAACCCCTGTACACAAACAATGCCCCTATAGAATTGCTATACATACACATAGAATAAAGGCCCTATACACATACATACACACTAAAGATCCTAGATACACAAACACAATGCAACCCCAATACACATACACACAGCAGCTACTAGTTACACAACATACACACACACAATACAACTCCAATACACGTACATTAACAGACTGCATCCCGTATGTAGCGGACTAGCCCCTGTACAAGAGTCTGCCCCGGTTTCCTGGAGGGGGCTGTTTGCTCGCCGCCTGCCCAGTGATTATGGTCCCGGGACGATGGGACCCTTTAAACACAATGGCTAGGCATAATGGAGGTTGGCATGGCACTGCTGGCCCTTTTGAGAGCCAGCCAAGGACATATGGAATAGCAGAGACATTGGACTGTACAGCGGATTCATTATTACTTTGCTATTTAACTACTAAGACTTCCATATGGATTTGTCATAAGGCTTTCATGTGGATTTAAAAAGCATTCGTTTGAATGTTCACCTAAAACTGTACTGACTCCCTGCATTCGGTATACGAACTAAATCTACCGAACACCGGACCACCCTGATGCTTCAATCTACCTCCCTGTTCGTCTAATACATTATTATTGAAACCCGGGAACGCTTTGTTCAAGTCCCTGGGTGGCCGCCATTTCGGGAGTTTAACACGTGGCAGCGGCCATCTTAAACTCCCAAACACTGTGTTTTGCCGTCGAATGTCTGGAATAAAATCAGACACTCGACTAGGCAAACACTGCTGAGACCTCCAGACTTCCATAAATTTGTGCCGAAACTACCAAACGAGCCGCCGTTCGGTAGAAAGACTAATGCAAACATGGGGATTCACACGAACACCAATATAGCCATGGATGACAAACATTTCGTGACTTTTATTCCGCGAACGGAGACCGACCGCAAGGCCAAAACTTTTTTCGGCTGCTGTTGCCTGTGCGGTCGGTCAAACATTTAAACCCCCATAACTCCCGAACCCTTGGTCCGATTTGGGTGATTTTTGAATATGTTATTCACCCAGAGCAGGGCTATCACATTTAGGGGTGTACCCTATGTATTTGGGGTACATCTAGAACTTGGGGAAAAATATGAACATTTTAATTCTGTTAACAGATAAGCTGATTTGAGGAGATGTGTCGGTTGTACCTTGTACTTTATTGGTTAATGTACTAATTATTGTGGGTGGCTCCCTTGCATGGGAGCATTGCATAAAAGCAGGGTTTGTGTGAATAAAAGTGAGTTCAGTTCTGCTCCTGATACTGTGTGTCGCCCAGTTATTGGGAAAGGTGATGGGATATTATTGGATTGTATTGCTGATTGTGCTTGCTACGCTGTTGGATTATTCTATTACTGTGGATATTTCTCCTGGGGTTACTACTTGTTCCTGAGCCACACCTGGACTACCAGCGGAAATAGTCTGTGAGAGACCAGCGTTCCACTACACCGTAGATACACACTCTACAGGCCATATACACACACACTAGAGCAACATTTAGTACACCACGACCAGACCCTTCTACACACTTCAGCTCTCCGAGTAAGCTGCTTAAGTAAGTGGTTCAGCTCATAATAGAATGGAGCTACTAACTGATACTGGCAGCAGTGCCTGGCTGGTATCGTCCATAGGACTCCATGGAAGCTTGCAAAACCCTATGGATGATGACATAAGCAGAGTCACACAGACACATTAACATTTTTATTTCTTGAGTGAAAGTGGTGGAAGTGTTGGGTGAGTTCCCACAATTTTTTCCCAGGACTTGGACCCCTTGTATTACAGATTATTTGAGGCAGTAAAATTCATCCTCTCATTTTGTTTGTCCGTTCCTTTGTGAATTCTGTGTCGACCCGAAATCATTTGTCATATCTGTCCACTACAAATGGAAACTATGTGAGATAATAAGGCTGTCTGCAGTTTGTAACTTGAATACACGATGCTGGAACAGAGGTGTCAACTACATCTGCTTTAATAATTTATACTTGGCATCATACGCTGTCAATAGTAGCTTTTACTAGAAATGAGCACACAGAAACACACGATAGATTGTATCTGATCTGCAAAACTAAATCACTTTTAACATATCTATTTGGTTTTATTTTTAAATTGTGTGAATTTTTTAATATGCTACACATAAGAAATTATATTTGTATAATTCATCAAAGGCAACGTACCCATAAATTACTACCAACAGCTATAGGGAAGAAAATGTTCTCATTTAATGGTTACTCCAATAAAAAAAAAAAAGTATTTTGAGAAAATAGCAGAGAGGCCAAGTTATTTTCTCAGACCGATCCTTCTATGCTGAGGTAACTCCCCATATCACTGAGGACGGATGAAGAGGAAGGGCAGGTTAAAGGTAGGACAGAGGTGGTAAAGATGGAAGGTGCCTCCACTGGATGCCTGTCACTAGGAACCCTTGTTCCGGGCTAGCTAATAAGGCACCAGTCACACTGCCGGAGGTGGAGTTACGCTGTACATACAGACTCCATGACCACTGAAATCAATAAAGTGGTCTTGGTGCTTTGAGTAACCCTTTACCTAATTGACTACCAAGCACTTTTTGAGTGAAATTTTTTTAGCATAACATTCAAGGGATGCATAAACATCATAACACAGCAATCTTTTTCCATGGATTGCTTTGTAGACAAACATAAAAATTATGTAAATTGACACCATTTATATATTTAACTTATTTGTTCTTTGTAAAAATATTTGGGAAATTCAAGGCTTTAGACAGTATACAGTGTCCTTGTGTTGAAATACTTCATACATATTTCATGCCCACAAGTAAGTCAGATACGGTTCTTTGATGTTCAGCGTTCTCGCACATTCCATGAGAATGTTGAATAGCCTCTGATGCTTCTCATAAAGAAGCAATGGATTTAATGCTTCACAAAGAGAAGGAATGGATTCAATGCTTCACATAGAAAATGAATGGTTTCAATGCTTCAGATAGAGAAGGCATGGATTCAATGCTTCAAATAGAGAAGGAATGGATACAATGTTTCACATAGAAAAGGAATGGCTTCAATGCTTCACACAGAGAAAGCATGGATTCAATGCTTCACATAGAGAAACAATGGATACAATGCTTCACATAGAGAGGGTATGGATACAATGCTTCACATAGAAAAGGAATGGCTTCAATTCTTCACATAGAGAAGGAATGCAATGCTTAACAAAGTGAAGGAATGCAATTCTTCACATAGTGAAGGAATGCAATGCTTCATGTAGAGAAGGAATGGATTCAATGGTTCAAATAGAGAAGGAATGCAATGCTTCACATAGAGAAGTATTTGATTGGATGAGTGCTGCATTTGCCAAGCACATGCTTTTCATCCTTAAAGCTTCTGGTTGGATGAAAGTTAGCAAAAAGCCATCATCCCTGACGATGAGAAAAGAAGGGGCTGTGGCAACCAGGGTGTCTCTGAGCTAGAAACAAGGTGAGAAAAAGCTTAATAGCTTTAGAGATTTTTATAAGGATAAAGGGGAGACATACATTACTCTATAATGCCAGGGAACTTAGAGCCCTGAAAAAAATTATATTATTTTCAGACTACAGTTTCTCTTTAAAATTCACTTTGAATTCCCACTTTAGTAAATAACATGGAAGGATTGTGCTTAACTGCTCAACTCTGTCTATATTATCACTAAACAGACAACTATAATCTGTAAATATCAGTTAATGCCTCTACGTGAATTGGATACTGTATGGCCTTTTAATGGTTAAACGTACAAGTTACAAGCAGTGGTTTTCACTCATGCCATATTTGATAGCCTGCTGAAGAGTATCACTGCTCGGTGTGACTTTCACAAGCTCTCAGTGTCCTGTTCTTGTCTTACATACACATCAGCACCTCTGTGTGGAATAATAGGACTGACCTCATGAACTTCCTCATCCAGACTCTGTCTCCAGCAGCACAGAGAAGCACAGGACACAGCTCATGAAGGTAAGTCCACCTGGGACACATCTCAATGCATGCAGTCTAAGCAATATACTCATCGCACAGCATGTTTGTCAATAGATACACTCATGCATTCACATGTGTATGTGTTTTGGACAGGCTACTGGCTCACGTCCTGCAGATTATGGACTGAATTCTCTTAGCAGAGAGTCCTACGGGAAAGATAATATTCAGCAAGCTCAGTAAACCCTTACATTGCAAAGATATCCAACTATATGTATTTGTATTGTATATGTTGATAAGATTCCATATTACAATGGTAACCATATTTAGTAAAGATATCCTATGCCTTCTCTCGTTACAGGATCACAATGTACATTTTCTCTTTCTCTCTGCCTCTATGTGTGTGCCTCTTCCCCCTCTTTCCTTCTTGTTGTACGCTCAGTCTGTCTGTTCTATGTTCTACCACTCTTTATTCTTTCCTCTGTTGCCTATTATCCGTGTTGCCGAAGCTTTCTGCTCATTCTTCCCTCTATTTTTGCCAATCTCAGTGTTTTTGTGACTTGAGTTCTTTCTTCGTGAATTGCTCAGAAACAAATTTATCATCTTCTCTAGTCCTACCCCCCCTTAATACTGAATTCATGGACCTCTCTAGCTGCTCCTTGCAATCTATACCACCACTTCACACCCTGTGGAGGCTACAGACATTACTTCTAGCACATAACAACATATGGAAGGTGGAAACTGGAACTTGGGTGGGGCTGCAAAGCATACAAAGCCTGAACCTTAATGGGAACAGAATACGAGAGCTGAATACCAGTTTCTCCTGGGGGTTAGACTCCCTCACTCACCTTTTTATTTCTCATAACCAACTGCACACTCTGCAAGGACTCAGCTTCCAGCACCTTCGGAGTCTGGAAATCTTGGATTTACAAGGAAACTTAATTTCATCCATTCAGTCTGGTTCCTTGCGACCCCTCACCCAACTACGCCATCTTCAACTTCAGAACAACTTACTTCAGAGTTTGCAAAATAATGACTTCTCTGTGCTGCAAAATCTAGAATTTCTAGACTTGTCTGGAAACCTGATCCAAGACCTACCACCATGGGTATTTACACCTCTCCACTCGCTCATTTTCCTTAATCTACAAAACAACCGGTTGCGCCACCTCCGCTTTCAGACATTACGCAGTATCCCAGCTCAAGGAACAATAATATTTCTCTCACAGAATCCATGGGAATGTGACTGCGATTTACAGCGTGTGTTTGGGAAGTTGGGTGGAGTACAAAGGCTTAATCTGCATGATAGAGAGGAGTTACATTGTGCAGAACCTCTAGCACTTCGGGGGAGGCACCTGATGTCATTGGACACTCGGCTCTGTGTAGCTGAAACAGTAACTGTTCTGGTTATCACTTTGACTGTAGTTGTCACAGTTGTTGGAGCAATAGTCACGGCAGAGAGGACCCGGAAAAAGAGACCGATTAGCCGTCAGAGTGAAATGTTTATCCAGGACTGATACCAGGATTGGACAGATAAATACCTTGTGTGACAGCGTTACAAAGGAGAGAAAAACTAAATCATGATTTGACATTGCAAAATTGGTAATACTATGCCTAAAATAGGTTACTGAACCCAGAATTAAATTAAGGCAACATTCTTGACTCCTTCTTTAATATTTTATTATAAACGTCTAAAACTACTTTTGCAAAATATTTTAATATTTTTTTAAAATTATAATTATATCAATATAGCTGAAAAAATATAAAAAATATTAAAACATTTTTAAAATATTAAATCAGTTTAAAAGTGTAACCAAAAATATTAAATAATTTGAAAAGCTTATCCAGAAATATCAAATCAAGGCCTAAATTAGATATTAGCAATTAATGTATTTTACCATTAATCCCTGTAATGCCAATATACGTCCCCTACAATGACCGTGTTAACCTGTTTCTCCCCTTACCTCATCCTTGTGACAACATTGCATATGTTAATTCTTTCCATACACAGGGCCGGTGTATTTTGGCCTCCTCATGTATATTACTCCATTTTCCCTTTGTGTTAATTGTTCCCTTTCCACTTTAGTATTAGCTCTTCTCTTTCATCAGATTTGTTTATTCTCTCTTTGTTATCGCTTTTATTCCACCACACTCCCTTTAGTTTCATTTTCCCCTCTTGCAGTCTGCGTTCGTGGATTCTCTACTCTTCCCTACTGATTTCCTCCAGTCTGTCTCTCGGTTATGAATATCTCATGCCTTTTTTTCTGTCTTTGTTTTAATTCCCAATAGGTCTATTACTTAAAAAGTACATTATAGTGGGTTGAAAAAGGGCTTTCAATATACAGGCCAAAATAGAAGAGATGGAAAAATCTTCCCTTTAAATGTTCTGGATAATTCTCCGCTACCTAGGCCCAAGTTTTAAATGGCACTTTTCAAATCACTGTTTATGAAATATTTATTTATACAATATTTTACCAGGAAAGATACATTGAGATTTCTCTCGTTTTCAAGTTTGCTCTTGAATAAAACTCCTCAGTGTCTTCCTGTTTATTTTTTTTTTTTTCAGTGAACCAAGAAATTTAGAGGAAAAAATACGTTGAGAATGGGGAGATATTTAGGTGAAAGAAACAGACTGGAGGGACATTTAGGGAAGCAAGACAGACTAGGGAAACACTAAGGAAAAGGAGACAACCTGGAGAGACATTTATGGAAAGGAGACATGCTGGGGAGACATTTAGGGAAATAAGACAGTCTTTGGAGACATTAAAGGACAGGAGGCAGGTATGAGAGACATGTAGGGAAAGACGACAGGCTGGGGAGAAATTATGTGAAATAAGACAGTCATTGGATACATTAAGGGAAAGGAGGCAGGTTTGAGGGACATGTAAGGAAAGACGACAGGCTGGGGAGACATTTAGTGAAAAGAGACAGGCTGAGAAGACATTTAGAGAAAAGGGCCGTTGCTCCCGGCGAATGCCTTATTCACCAAATGGAATCTTTGGCTCTGCAAATACAGCAAATTGATAACATATACCCCCGTGTCTACCTTGTTCACATTGTGTAAGCCATACGACTACTTATCTCCCACCCAATTCTTACCTCTGCCAAAATAAATCCGATCTTACAACCCTTGTTCTGGACTGACTTGCATCCAGGTAACCAAATTTCCACTGTCTGCCATTCCAATTCATCACATTGACCCTTCACATACAGTTGTTTAATCCGAATCCTGAATTGAAAACTATCCTTTACAGCCAGCTGTTCCACTAGGTGTCTGATAGTGTGAAACTGATTTGGTGCCTATTTGGGGAGGTAGGAGCACCAGGTGAGCACAAATATATGTATCCTTACAGCTCCTTACGATGGGCCAGAACCAGGAGTTTAATGTCATGCTGGTTAGTTGAAACGAAACCCAAAAGCCAAAAGGTTCAAGGGAGAAAAGGAGTCAAGGCAAAAAATTCCAAAGGTCAAGGCAACAGCAAGAACAGGTGTAAGAAAGGCTGAACTTGATGGATGCATCTTTCTTTTCATCCTCTGTAACTATACAAGGTATAATAGTCCCAAAGGGCCATCAATTCATGCAGCAAGGTTCAGCAACTTAGAGACAGGCCAAGGCTAAGGTGCCTGGAGAATCAAGAACGAGTACACAGCCAAGTGTTCACAGCAATAGCACATTATAGCATTGGTCTCCTCTCTTGGGATAACACCCACCTTTTGAAATCGTTGAGGAGTCCACCTCTAGGTAATAGAGATTGTAGTGAACTGTTTAAGTTTATCAAACACTTTTTGGGCACTAATCATCTAACATAAAGTGAGAAAGGTCTTAGTAAGAGCAGTCAAATGCTGGACATTGCAAGAGAAGTTGGGATACAGTGGTGATAGAAATTGGGGAATCTGATAAATAATTGAACCACATTTTTGTTCTGAGGTGTTAGCCAGTTCATAATCGCCTCAACCTTTCCATTTTGAATCATCCAGGTGTTAGGATAAAACCCAGAAATGCCATGTCTCAAAGGTGCACTTCTTCAATTTTGCATTCAGGTTGTGTTGGCGTAACCTACCAATGACTGTACATACATGTTAGCAGTGTTCCTCCAAAGTAGGAGAAAAGATTAATAGATTTACCAAAAAGAAAGTCTTTTCTCTTGTCTGCTGCCTTTGCAAGGCCTATCCTATTAACCACACCCATACTTTCTATGGCTGTCCAACCACAGTCTTGCCAATGCAGCTCAATGGAGAAATCTTTACAAACGGGTACTCTGAGCAATTGCTGTATCTTGGGTTTAGCTCCACTGAGCTAAAAACAAACAGGAAGTAACATGACTGGTTGTCTGGTTGAGAGTCAATGGGGTGTAACCAGGTTTATTTATAAACATGTAAATTTCTATTGAAATCTGCACTTTTTGCAAAATGAGAAAAAAGGACACACTCTTCACACATAAAGATTTTCAGCAAGCTAAAGTGCTTTAGGGGACCGGTCCAGAGTGTCCCTTTAAGGATAAACCCTTAAACTATTATGGCACAAATAAATAACACACAACGTTTTGTTTTGATTCTGAACTTGAATTCTGCCCTTAAAAGGTTTAATACTACATTGGGCAGTTCCTCCTAATAAATTAAGCTAAAATAAGAATGTATATAACTTTTTATTTAAAGAATTTTATTGAATAAACCAAACTTCAACTTTGTTCAACTTCACGTCTCCTAAACTTGCAGAATGCTTTGCAGCTTGCAATAAATGTGCTGAGATTGAGCATCTCCGATATTAACAGTATTCCTAGAGACTAATGGATAGGCTATTTATAATGACAGTGGTTGGTTGCCTCGTGCGGAACCTTCCTTCCTTGCTCCAGTTTCCCCGGGGGAGGATTTGATCGACGGACTCACCTCTGAATTTGGCCTGCATTTTCGGTTGCGACTAGTTCCTATCCAGTAGAAGAACCCTGTCCTTTCTGAGGATAGGAAATAGCTTGCTCAGTGTGAGTAAGCTAGTTCCTATCCTTCTAAAAGGACCTTTTCGCCCACTACTGGTCAGGTCCTGTGTAGGGATAGGAACTAGACTGCTCACAGTGAGCTAGCTAGTTCCTATCCTTCTAAAGGACCTTTTTGCCCCTAGTGGTCAAGTCCTGTATAGGGATAGGAACTAGACAGCTCACACTGAGAGAGCTAGTTCCTATCCTGCTAAAGGACCTATTGCTCCATAGTGTTTGGGTCCTCTTAAAGGATAGGAACTAGACAGCTCACAGCGAGTTCCTATCCGGCCAAAGGACCTTTATCGCTCCATCTCACACAGGTCCCTTACAGGGATAGTAATACCTAATTCCTATACTGCTAAGGGACCTGTATACCTTCAGCTAACAATGGTCCCTTACAGGGATAGGAACTAGACGATTCACAGTGAGAAATCAAGTTCCTATCCGGCAAAATGACCTTTGTAGCTCCAGCTCACACAGGTCCCTTACAGGGATAGGAACTAGACGGTTCACTGTGAGAAATCTAGTTCCTATCCGGCAAAAGGACCTTTATAGCTTCAGCTCACACAGGTCCCTTACAGGGATAGGAACTAGACGGTTCACAGTGAGAAATCTAGTTCCTATCCAGCAGAAGGAACTTTATAGCTCCAGCTCACACAGTTCCCTTACAGGGATAGTAATACCTAGTTCCTATACTGCTAAGGAACCTCTATACCTTCAGCTAACAATGGCCCTTTACAGGGATAGGAACTAGACAGCTCACAGTGATAAATCTAGTTCCTATCCAGCAAAAGGACCTTTACACTTCCAGCTCACACAGGTCCCTTACAGGGATAGGAACTAGACGGTTCCCAGTGATTAAGCTAGTTCCTATCCAGCAAAAGGACCTTTACAGTTCCAGCTCACACAGGTCAATTACAGGGATAGGAACTAGACTGCTCACAGTGAGTAAGCTAGTTCCTATCCTTCTAAAGGACCCTTTTGCCCCTAGTGGTCAGGTCCTGTATAGGGATAGGAACTATCCTGCTCGCACTGAGAGAGCTAGTTCCTATCCTGCTAAAGGACCTATTGCTCCATAGTGTTCAGGTCCTCTTACAGGATAGGAACTAGACAGCTCACAGTGAGAAATCTAGTTCCTATCCAGCAAAAGGACCTTTATAGCTTCAGCTTACACAGGTCCTTTACAGGGATAGGAACTAGACAGTTCACAGTGAGAAATCTAGTTCCTATCCAGGAAAAGGACCTTTATCGCTCCAGCTCACACAGGTCCCTTACAGGGATAGTAATATCTAGTTCCTATACTGCTAAGGGACCTTTATACCTTCAGCTAACAATGGGCCTTTACAGGGATAGGAACTAGACGATTCACAGTGAGAAATCAAGTTCCTATCCGGCAAAAGGACCTTTATAGCTCCAGCTCACACAGGTCCCTTACAGGGATAGGAACTAGACGGTTCACTGTGAGAAATCTAGTTCCTATCCGGCAAAAGGACCTTTATAGCTTCAGCTCACACAGGTCCCTTACAGGGATAGGAACTAGACGG